GAGATATCATAATTAAAAATCTAATGATATTTGTTATCATAAAAAATAATAAGACTTGGGTCAAGATTTGTAATAATCTCCTCCTTTTTTATGATGGAAAATATTGTTGTTTTATTATATAAGAGTATTTTGCTATTCCCTAAACTCCCCCTCTCTAAGTAATTTTTTTTCTAAATATAGGGGAGTTGTCAATTTTAAAATAAAAAAATCACATAATTACATAACACAGAAAATTAATAGATAAACATGGAATTAAATATTTTAAAGAAAAATTTAAGCTACCAATACATGCTACTCTCCCTTTTGACATCACTAAAAGAAGAGGGAACAACAACAAATAAATATGAAACTAACACCTATCAAAAAAAATTCTAAATCAATCAATGGTAGTAAATGAAAATTTTATTTATGAATAGATCAAAAACTCAGTAAGAAATGCATTGACAAAGCTAAAACCAAAAAAGTTAGAAATTTGAAGGTTATCAACCTTAGCTCAAGTTCCTTATAGATTAAAATGTTTTTAGACAAAAATCTAATTCAAAAAAATAAATTAGAAAGGAAATGTGATCTTTTTAAACTTCTTTTTAGAAATATATCTAAGAGAGTAGCATTTACAATGATGAATCAGGAATTATGATTTTTAAATTCAAGTGAAGACGATATTAATTGGCATATGAATTTTTCTAAGATTTAAGGGTTTTAAAGAAAAGGGAAGCTAAGTCATAGTGGGCTCATTTTGTTCCTCTTAATCAATTTTTGTGCACTTTGCACGTATTTTAAATTTTTATATACTTTATGCATCATTTAATTTTGGTGTACATTATGGATATTTTAGCTTTGGGCTCATTTTGTGCCTCTTTTTTTTTTTTTTTTTTTGCAAATTTGCTTACTTTCTACATCTTTAAGGACTCTCAATTGTGAGATTATCTTTCAAATATGATAGAAGAAGAACTCACTCTTTTATATAAGGAAGAGAAAATCATAAAGCAAAATTCGATCCATATGATATAGACAAAAAACCTGATTAAGAAAATTTTAAATAGATTCATTGACTTGCAGACTTATTCTTATGCGACAGAAGACTGTATGAAGATTAAACATATAGCTATTTATTGGTCTAATTTTTAATTTGAAATAGATTTTAATTCAAAAAGAAGTTACACCACTAAATTAGTTAGAGAAAGAAGGATAATCATCAAGTTTTCTTGCTTTAAATATTTCATAGGAGTCGATCATTGTTTATAAAAATATGTAAGATTTTCATTTAAAAGAAATGTTTAACTACTAAAGTGAGTAGTGATCAGATTCTTAAATTTTAAAAGAAATATAAAATACATGTATAAAAATATTAAATATTGAAAGAAAAAAGATAAAACAAAAACACAACAATCATATTTCAAAATTTTCAAAGCAATTAGTTTAAAGCGTGAATATTTTTGTCACCTAATCTAGTGCTTAAGGTGCTGAAGTTTTCAAAAGTTAATGGTTTTGTAAAAATATCTGATTTTCAGTGGCTACATGATGTAGCTCTATCTCCTTTGGTGACATAGTTCCTAATGAAATGATGTCTTATGTTTATGTGTTTGGTCCTAAAGTGTTGAGCTAGATTCTTTGAAATACATATATAATTAATGTTATCACATTAGATTAGAATGGTCCCTACAGGTAGTTTTAAATCCAAAATTTGTTGCTTTAACCAAAGGACCTATGCCACACAACCTCCTAAAAATATATATTTTATTTCAACAAAGGAAAGTGCTATTGATCTCTATTTTCTAATGGGCTAGGTGACTAAAGATTGTCCTATGAATTGACATATTCTAGAAGTGCTTTTCCTATCAACGTTACATCTTGTAAAGCATAAATTGGAATTTCCTATGATTTCAAAAGAGAAGTTATACCTAGGATATCAAATTATAAGGTTTTTAGTTCCTAAGAGATATCTAAGTTTTCTCTTAACACTAGTCAAGTATGATTCTTTTGGATCAAACTAAAATCTAGTACATAGATACACACTAAATATAATATTAGATATGCTAGCAAACAAGTATAGAAGTGATTCAATTATTCCTCTATATTTCTTCTAATCAATTGATTTTTTATTTGAGCCCTTTCTAATTGAACTGCGGAGCTCATGAGAGTGCTTATTATCTTGGTCTTATCCTCTTCATATTTCTTAAGGATGTCTTTAATATATTTTGATTGGCCAAGAAAAATTGCATCATCCTTCTACCTTATACTAAATTCAAAAAAATAGTTCAGTTCTCCTATCGTACTCATTTCAAACTTCTTACTTGTTATTTTAAAATATTCATCACATAGCTTATTATCAGAGGATCCAAATATAATATCATTAACATAGATCTGAATAATGAGTAGATCTTCTCTTATCTTTTTGAGGAATGGGATGGTGTCTATGCTTCCCTTAACAAAGGTTCTATCAAGTAGGGATGTGCTTAACCTTTCATACCATGCTCTAGGCGTTTATTTTTGTCCATATAGTGCCTTTTTTTAATTTGAACACATGATTGAAAAATTATAAATTTTTAAAGCCTGTGGATTATTTAACATAAGCATCTTCATTTATTATCACATTCAAAATGACACTTTTAATATTCATTTGATACAATTTGAATCCATTAAAGAAGGCAAAAGCTAGTCTAGCTACAAGGGAAAATGTCTCTTTAAAGTCAATCCCTTCTTTCTGGTTGTATCCCTTAAACACTATTCTTTCTTTGTTCCTTACCACTACACAATAGCCATTCTTTTTATTTTTGAAATTTGTTGCAATAACAATCTAGTCTTTAGGTATTTAAACTAGCTCCTAAACATCATTTCTAGCAAATTAATTCAATTCTTCTTGCATGGCTAGGATCCATAATCATCATATAGTGCTTTATTTATGTTTGTGGGTTCAATTATGAAGATAAAGGCAGAGTGGTTAACTTCTTTTCTAAGTTCAAGCCTAGCTCTAACACCTTCAGATGGGTTTCTAAAGATCTATTCTTTAGGATGACTTGAAAAATTTCTCTATTCTTTATACAGTAAATTTTCAAATTTTACTATTTCTTCTAGATTTATATATTCTACTCCTTAGGTGACTTCAACCACTTCTTCTTCTTCTATCCTAAATCCTCCAAAATTATTAGATTCATCAAAAATTACATGTATAGTCTCCTCTACCACCATTGTCCTTTTATTAAAACTCTATAAGATTTTCCAATATTCAAGTATCCTAGGAAAACTCCTTTATTAGATTTAGGATTAAACTTTCCTAATAGAGATTTCTTATTATTTAGAATGAACTTTACATCCAAAGGCATCAAGGTGAGAGAGGTTGGGTGTCCTACCTTTAAGGATTTTATAAGATTTCTTGTTCAGCTTGGATCTAATATTAACCCTATTCAGAACGTAACACATTGTATTTACCGCTTCTGTCCAAAAATATTTAGAAAGTGAGTATTCAGCTAACATGACTCTAGCAGCTTCTATCAAGGTCCTGCTCTTTCTTTTAGCCACCCCATTCTACTAAGGGATTTTATGAGCTAAAAAATTGTGATATATCCCTCGCTCCTTGCAGTAAGACTTAAATATTTCATTCTCAAATTCTTCATCATGATCACTATGAATGGTCAAAATTTCACAGCTAGCTTTCTTTGAATCTAAGTGGAGACTGACCCAAACTCCTCAAATGATTCATTTTCATGAGATAAAAATTTAACCAAAGTAAACTTTGAGTAATCATCAACAATCACATATCCAAAGACTTTCCCTCCTAAACTTATAGTACGAATGGGTCTAAAGAGATCCATATGAATGACTCCTAATGGTTTGATAGTGTTAATGTCCTTAAATTAGTTGAAGGAGTATTTAATTTATTTTTCTAACTAACAAGAATCACACAAGTGGTCCTTAGGAAAATCTAGTTTGGGTGTGCCCCTTTTTAAGTCTTTTTAAGATGTTTTTTTAAGATTTTTCATGCTTGGATGCAATAATCTTTTATGCCATAACTAGGATTCATCATCAATTACTTTTAGGTAAAGAGATGTAGCAAATTCAATGAAATTCAGATCAAACATGTAAATATTATTAATTCTTTTCCTTGAAAATAGTATTGCCTTTAACACAAGTCTCCGACAACCCAAGAAGCTAAACAATCATAGGCCCCCTCATCTCAACAATAATCGATGGACTCACCAAAACATACTTGCCTAAACCTACTCAACACTATTAAATTCTTCAAGAGACGGATCATTGAAGATCGTTCAATGCTAACCCCTTCAACTAGCAGCAGACATGTCTCTCTAGAAATCAATATTAAAAGCAATTTAAGTTGGTTATATGTTTTATTCTTTTAATATAACCTTTCCTATAGCCCTTACATCACTATAAATAAGAGGTGAAAATGAACATTTTAGATTTCTTTGCCTAGCAAAATTTTGAGCCCCTTAAAATTTCTTTACACTTTTTGCTCCTAGCATAATAGTTTCTCACCAAATCTCACAAATTTTAGGTCACCCCCATAGAGTTTGCCAGCTAATAAACTTGGGCATTATTCATAGACATATTTAGATCCAATAGTATCAAGATATTATTCAGTTCAATAAAGGTATTGCATTTTTAGCTTTCAAATAGGAATATACCAACATTGTAAACTAATATTTAGTTGCATATTGACATTAAAATGGAAATTATGATATATCTCTAAAGCAATAAAATCTTGGCATATTCCATTCATAGCTTAGTAGATAATTATGGAAAAACTTTAATGATATGCACGTTAAAGATTTCTTTATTTGGGAAGAAAAAGTAGACTGCTACAGATCAACAGCAGGTATTACGGAACAGATCGCATGAGATCCTTCTTTAGAACTTGAGAAACAATTGAAACTTCGTAATTTTAAGGATTAAAAAAGAATAACAGAGCTAACATATATATCAAAAAGAAAACATAAGTAAAATTTTACACAACATCTACCAGTCAAAAAATGAACATAGAGTAAGAGCAATATTGTTGATCCCAAAGCTAAAAATGGTAATGATGATATAGATTAACATTGGCAATTAACTGATTGGGAATTCCAAATTTTAAAATACATTAGCTCACAGAATCGAGTAACAAGTTGTAGAAAAGGACTACCAAGATGCCTAATGTAATACAACATAAAAATTAAGGTATTTGCCTTCTGAAAATTGAACAAAATACTGCTTTCCTGAACATCGGAAGAATTTCTCAAACTTAATCATGGCTGGCTAAGTGATTGATCGGCCTAAACCATCATATACTGCTTTCCTGAACAGCGGATGAATTTCTTTATTGAAAACTTCTGCATCCAAGACCTCCACATGGGGCCAGATCTGCCAGTAGAATAGAAATAAGTAATGAGAAAAAAATGAGACATTATCGGAGAGATGAGAAAGGAAACAAGATAGACTTTCAGGGTTGATGATGAGCAGAGGCGGAACCCAATGGGTTCCAGGGGGGGCAATTGCCCCCCCTCAAAATTTTTTTTTAAATTTTTTTTATATGGTGTTTTTGTGAGACATTATCGGAGAGATGAGAAAGGAAACAAGATAGACTTTCAGGGTTGATGATGAGTTCCAATCACCTCAGACTATTAATAATAAATATAATAAATAAATAAATAAATGTTGATTAAAACGCAATGAATACTGAATATCGTGACATTCATATAAATATATATGCAAAAATAAATGCAGAATCGGAGGTAACCAGAACAATTAAAGGGGATGAAAGTCAAGGTTTAAAAATCAACCTCTGTTGAATATTGCCTGGAAATAGCCTTCACATGGCCCAATGTTGTTAGACACCACTGCTCTAACTCCCCGATGTTATAGGCATTAGCTGCTCTTTCACCATCAGAGACAATGCTGGAGTTTCACAGAACCAATGTGAGAAACTTCAAAACAAGAATAAAGGATTCATAGATCTATCATAAAACTTGCCTATTATTTCCATTTTCGTGATCAACATCCATTTTTGGTGGTTTTTCAAGATCAACGGTCATGAAGTCAATCTGACCATATCTTAAGTTGGGCAGTTTTCCATCAGGAGAGAAGGAAGGCAAACGTTCCGTGAGTGCAAATTTAAAGCTCTTATATAGCGAGATAAATAGTTCCTGCATAAAATTATGAATTTTTATTCACTTCAATTAGGAAAACATACAAACTTGGCAAACAATGTCAAATAATCAATAATCTAAGTGCAGCATAACCATTGCTGAATGTTTATTTGATCTTATATGTTTGTGTATAAAATCTATGGGTGAATTTGGTGATAACAATCTCATGACTGAGTTAAGGACTGCCCCAAAAAAACTTTTGTTAACTCTATTCCAAACAAACAAACTTCCACTTCATGTAAAATGAGTCGGAAAAATATTTCTTTGGACCATCTTAACCAGGCCATATAGCTTACACAGTCTGAAAACACCGTTCGACAACTCTCTTCCCACAAACATAGCACCACTTTATCTATGGAGTTGGAGAAATATTTTTTGGTCAATTTCAGCCATGCCTAATAGCTCACACACGGGTTCCAACAGAGATCACCTAGATCTTTTCTTCAAAAACTCAGATAGAGCACCCACATCTTTAGTGACATAATAATATGTTCTCTTTCTTGCTCAAAGAAGACCCCATTGCAATGAGAGTAATAAAGAAAGATTACCATACATTTATTTCACAAAGATAATTGAAAACAAAGAAATACACGATTCATCATTACAAGCTTGAAACATTATTATATGTATACTCGGCCCGCAAATAGCACATAGAAAATACAAGTAAAAAATGTAATACAGAACATATATATTCCCAATTTTGCTTTAAGTAAAACAACGGGTGAAATTAAAATAACACTAAATAGTCAAACATGCATTTTAGAGCACGAGTTTTAAAGAGACAATGTTTTAGTTTATTTTACGTGATCAACCCGTAAATTATACAATATTGGCTAAAACAGAAGAACCTTTTTATTTTTAACAAAAGGATCACCTTATTTTCTTCAAGAGCTCGAATAAGAAGAGCCTCCTTTGCTTCTAGAGATTCCCTTATGGAATTCTCTTCATATTTTGCCCGATCAGCATATCCCTTCAGTCGCTTTAATCTTCCCGGTTTTTCAGCCTGCACGGGTTGTCCATCAACAATTTCTAGTTTTAATTCAGCGGCTTCATACTCTTTCTGAGCCTTCATTGAAGTTTCCACAGCTAGTAAAATTTCGTTTTCAAGGGATCGGATTTCCTTTCTTAGATCAGATATTCGATTATATGTCTTGTTGATTGCATTCCGAAGTATCTGCAATTAAGAATTACAGAGTAATAAGCCAACCATAAACAAAATCTAAATGAATCGAGTTGACATGAAATCATGATCCAATTAAGCGGCCACTCACAAGTGGGATGACAATTAGAACTATGAATAAGTTACAAACTTAAAAATAGGTTTCTTTCTAAACAACAAACTGTTTTTATCCATGAACTTGAAGAATAAAAAAGCCCCAATCAAGCTTGAGTTTTCTAGAATGGAGAATCATAATTTTGTATAGCTGAAATGAAGATAATAACAAAAACAATGAAATTTTTTATTTCCAAATATTGAAAAATCCAAGCAGATATTAAGCTTTTTTTATTTCACTAAATAGCTCAGCACACCCAGAGCTGCTGACTGTTTTTGACTTTTCAGCATGAATTTATCAGGTAAATCTATAAACTTAGCGCATAATGACTTAATTAGTGTTTTTATGCAAAATATAGGTTTGACCACTTATCAAAGATACAGACTGAGAAACGATTACAATCAAAGAATTTCACGTGGTGCTGTAAAAAAGCAATTTTAATAATTAATTGATTTCAGATTTCATCTCAGAATAAACAACTACTTCTAGAGAGAACATGATGCAGGACTTAAATATCTAAGCGATGTTACAAAAAAATCTCGCACAATTTAATTTAAAGAGTTTTATTAACTAAAATACTTGTAATGCCCCAAGATCTAACTTGGAAAGAATTTCAGTCAATCCATTCAAACCATCAATCATTTACCAGAGCTATCTATAGTCTTCAATCAATAACAAACAGTCTAATAAAATTCTATAATATAAAAACATCAATGTACAATTATATTCATATCCCAAAAGTTCATATACAGTACTCAGGATCTACACAATGATCACATGAAATGAAATCTATCATGTCCTGAGTACAAAAGAATCACTATAACCAAAAAGAACAAAAACCTGAGGATTCCAGATCAATCTCAATCTCCTGCTCTCTTGTCCTGACCTGAAAATATTAACCACATATAATGAGCTTCAAAAAGCCCAGCAGGTCACCTAATACCTACAACTGAAATCAAAGCACGGTACTGAAACAATATGCATGTCAGTCCATCAAATCATAACAATCAGTTGCACATGATCAGTGAATCTATGCAGCAGATACGAAAAATCAGTAATCAATGCATGATCGATACAATCCACAATCATCGGTAAAAGAATCGATAAACGGTAGGAAGAAGTCTATAAAGCTCCATGAATCAGTACATACGATAAATCTCGTAAGAATCCAATCAAATCAATAGAAGAAAATCATCGTCTCGATAATAACCGTTAAATCAATATCGTATCAATATAATCAATCAAATCAATAAATCAACAATCAAGCAAATCAATAAATCAATCAAATCAATTTATAAATAATCACGTGCTATAAGAATCAATACAATGAATCAATGTATCAGTGGATCAGTAGTA